CCAATACATCCTACCTGTTATTACAACAGACGTGCCATATCTGTGCAGTAAATTAGCCAACCCCCTGAAGAGTTTGGTGGGAGCTTATCTTCCAGTGAATAATTTGAATGTAGTGGGAACTGTCTGCGTGACCGGTGTGGATGATTTGTTTTATATTGAAAGGGATGGAAGTGACTGGATTTCATACTTTTAATTTGCAAGAATTTGCTTAGCTTTTTTTTTTTTACATCTTGCATTTAATGTGTACTTCTTTATGTATTTTTTAAATGTTATTCACTAGAATTTTACATTGATTTTTTATTCCTGAGCTTAGGAAGGGTTTTCAGATCTTCTGGAGGGAATTTTTAAAAAATAACCTATAAAACAGCAACTAGTTTTTTTGTTTGTTTGTTTGTTTGTTTGTTTTTGCAGAAATGCATACTATCACACAACTATAAGTATCCTGCCATTAACAAATGGCAATATAAAAATTTTGAGCAGCTAAGGACGACAGATAGTGTTATAGCAAGCCAGATAAGAAGAGAATTAAGTGGGGGCAAAATTAATTTTTCTTCTGCTATTTTGGATAGCAGATATACATTCTAGCCAGGAATATTGTTGATTCAATATCCCACAGTACACTTGTACCTGGCATCTAGATTTTTCCAGATTGGATGTAAATGTACCCCTCTGTCCCCATATATACATACTAGTGTACACACACACACCATAGATGTATAGTCTACTTTCAGTCAGAGTACTTCCACTGAGCAGTTCAAAAAATAAGTTTGTTATTATGACCTCTCCTATACAATATAGACCTTGTTACTTTTTGCTTTTAAGGGTGATCTTAGTCTTCAGGAGGTTTGGTAAGCTCGCAGTATGGAAGGGGTCGGAAAGTGTGCAGAGGGCCGGAGGGAATATTGTAATTGTAAGCGTAGCCCCGAGTATAGGACTCCTTCACGCCTTAATTACATGGCAATTCCTGGCACCACACCGCTGGGTTATCAATGGGGTCAGAATTACCCTCTGCTATATTACCGTTGTATTTGCTTAAATATTCCTCTCTTACATGCTTCCAATCTTGGGATCATTGTTTTCTACAGTGCATTTTTGGGAAAGCTTCTTAAGACTCATGCATAATATTGATTGAAAGCAAATAAATGTACTTTTCAGTGTCTCCCATGTGCAGAGCAGTCCACTGCAAGAGACTAGAGGTCAAATCAGATTTAGTTTGTGTTATTCTTGAAAGTGAACATCTTGGAGCTGAATTTTGGACTACTCTTTTAATAAGCACTACTGTGTTCACTAAGACCAGATCCCTAATAATACCATAACCTTATCCTTTCTGCTGATGAACTCATCTTCTCTATTGCCAACCTAATCAAAGCAAGCAGTAGAAACAGCTTTTCTACACTGTTATAATCTTATATAAGTTCCAATACAGTCTGGAATTTTGTTAATGATTATTTCCCACCTTTCTGGAGACAAACATTCAAAACAGTCTATTTCCTAGATAAACCACCTCTCTTTCTAGAGAACTCAACATTGGTTCCTTCATGGATTCTTCTTCCACTTCTTATATACAGCTGCATAGGCCTTCCTCTTCCTCTTCCTCTTCCCCTACAAGGTGGTCCTCCTAGGTCCAGAGCTCTGTGGTTTTCCTCCCATTTGGGGATCCTCTGTGTACAGCACCAGTTCTTCCTGTGCCTCTTCCATCTTCCCTTCCTATTTACCTCTTCACTTCTCCGATCCAAATAAACTTGAAAATTGCTGTTGGTCTTTGCATCTCTTCACCAGGACAGTGTTTTGTGACAGTTCATTGCTTGGATTGATGATGCCAGAGTCTGACAATAGGTCTTTGTTAAAAGCGAGTGCTGCCTTTTGTCCATTCTCTGGGGGCCGAGCCTAAGGTCTGGAGGGGCAGGATCAGCACTCTAAGGAATTCTAAGTCTTTCTCCTTCTCCTGCTTTTCCTCTTACTACCCCAGCGATACTGTGCGAGTTTGTTAGAAAATCTCAAAAGCTCACTATGATGAGAGTCAGCTAGCAGGCTTGCCACAGCCCATCCTTCCTGTCCCCACTTCAAGTGTTTTGCATAAGGCATTTAGGGGGATTATTAAACAAAAATGGAATAAATTAAGAAATGAACATAAAAGAATCAATTCCCTTGAGCTGCGGTTGCGTAATGGAAATCGACTACCATGAATGAACCCGTGTACTGAAGTTACGAACAGTGGAGCTAATGCACTGCCATGAGTTCATCTTTATTATTGCATTACACCTGAATCAATTGATAAAGTAGCTTTTTTTTTTTAAGCGAAGGATGGCACTTAATTGAATAAAAGTCAATGTAATTATATTAGCAGAGGCCAACAGTACTGCTGACAGCGGAAAAGGGACACTGTTGAGCCGAGTGCCAGAGTGGGCCTACACATTTCTGCACATCGTTTGGCTGACAGATATTGAGGGCTGGTACATTGTCTAATTAGATTACAGGTTTCTATTGCTGTAAGTGAGAAATGAGGAGAAACATCTCTTCCTGGTAACGTATCTGTGGAGAGGTGCAATTTCACAAGTCATTTTAGAAAAGATATGTCCATCTGGGTGATCAGTGTGTCCTTTTGTCAATGTTAATTTATTCTTCCTCATTCAGAGCTGCTTTATGTGACGGCAGTGTTCTAGCAGTGAATCTAGGAAGTGGTCACTGCAGATGTGTGAGAAGCAGCACAGAGTTCTAGATTGCAGTCATTTGCAAAATGTGTCCTTGTGAAATTAAGAAAGCAGGGGAGGGTGTTCAAGATAATAAACAAGATAATAAACAGAGAAGTGTAGGATTCCGTGAGCTGCTTATAGCTGGCAGATTGTTTTATCAGCAGAGTAATAGTGCAAAGGGTAACTCTATTCCCACGTTGTTGTAATAACTCTGGTGGTGTCATGCCCATATGTCGCAGTAGGCATTTCCTGCACTCTGCTTAGCAACCTGCACTTGGACAGATTATCTGCCATCTGACACTAAGAAACGGGGAGACTGTGTCAGAGCAGGGGCCCTGGGGGACAACTTCTATTTATCATTCACCTATCTGCACCCTGCATGCACCTGTGTGGAACTCATTTATGGATGACGCTGATGCTGTGAATTTGTTTTATCTTAATTTGATTTATGATTTTTGGATTATGCAGCTGATCTAAAAATCATCAAGACAGCATATGTGATGATCGCTTATGACAGAAAATGATTTTGTGATCAGAACATTTTAAATCCCTGTATTGTTGTTTAAGTTTTTTTTTTAAACCAGATGTCTAGAATGTGAATTTGTTTTCTCTCTCTCTCTCTCTCTTTCTCTCTCTCTCTGTCTCTTATTCTTGCTTTCTTTTGTGATCGATTTAGCAAAAGATTAGAAAGCTGATCTTATTGTCACAAGGTAAGCTCAGCCTTCCTAAGCGCAGTGTGGAGGGGGCTGTGCCCCACTCCCCCTTCAAACCCAGAGTCCGATATATATTTATTGTCTTGTGTGGAAAGGTGGGGAAGTCTTTCTCACCTTTCTTGTCTCTGAGGCACATACCTCTCAACCACCTCTTTAAAAATATGTATTAGCTATGCTCTCGCCAAATGGAGTGACTCGCTTGGGTCTTCCGTACTTCCTACTTAATAATTAAGGAGGTCTGTTGAACTTGATGCTGGCTATTTTGGGCCGTTTTGATTATCACAATGACTTCTCCAAGACCTAGAGCTTCTGCCATCGTTGAGAAGCTCCCATGTATCTGTAATTTGCTTACCAATTTGTCTTCTGGGAGGGTAGCCCTCCACTTAGGTACCTGTGAAGCATGTGAGTCTTGGCAGGTGGAGAGAGGTATATGCCCAAGGGCACTCGGAAAGTAAACGGGGGATGTAACCACAGAGGCGATGCTTTCTGATGGATAACAACATATCAGGCTCTGGAAGTCACGGCATCCCTATGGATGTTCTGGGACAAATCCTGCCTTTTTTTACACAAGCAAAGCGCTCAGTGAGTGGAGAAAAAGTTTTGCTTGTCTAAGAAATACGGATTCCACTGTTATACTATAGAGACTATCTGTTATCATTATGCTTGATTGATTGATTGATTGATTGATTTTGTAGTTATTGTGGGAGTTTTGTTCTTTTTGTCCCTTTGGATTTCCTATTGTTTAATGTTATTTTTTTTAAAGGTGGGTGGGTTTTATCTTTTCTAAAAAAAAAAGCAGTATATCTATTTTTCAACTTTAAAAATAATAATTAAATTTAAAAAGTTGAATTGCTTAATGAAAACTTTTCAACTCTAAAATATAGCAACTTCTGAAAATTTTTCATTCTAAAATGTTTTACTATTAGATTTAGCTGATATCCCAAATCAATCTGGGAAAAGGGATTTATGTTAAAAATTCTGTAACCCTATTTCTAATTGCGGATGTACTCAGCTGATTTTTTTCCTACCTAAAACTTGAAGTGTGGGAAGGTGAGGGACAAGATTTCAATTTGTAGATTATATACTATTTTTTAAATGGGTCCTTTTTCAATAAAGTGTTTGCTGTATAAAAAAAAAAGTTTTCTGTTTTTGGGTAAATTTAAAATATTCCGTTTTGACAAGCAGAAAGCTCCCATTCTTTTATCCCACTTAATTTCTGTTCTAAAACTTCTGCTATGAGATTGTCTGTCGCTGATGCTGCTACCTAGCAAAGCAAACAGAACAATCATTGAGAAAAAGGCGCATGGGTTCAACATTCGCCCTACCATTGAAGAATTTTTACTCTCTTATAAAAAATTATGTTAATGAAAAGCTCCCTTATTGCACTTCCCACCACCACTTATTCCCAAATCCTGAGGATGTGGGGGAAATGTTTGCTTTTATAATGGTGTAATTAGCAATGAATGTGCTTATTGGATGCCTAGCGAGAAGCCGAATGAATCCATTTTAAAATGCTCTCCTTTTTCTCCCCCTTCCCACCCGCTACCCACCCACTCCACCCCTCCTCTCCCCCCCTTCCCTCTTGTTTTCCTAGACACAGTGCCAACATAAATCTGCATCGGAAACTGTTGACCAAAGAACTCGATGACATGGGCCTGGACTCCTCGCAGCCCTCGCTCAGCAAGGACCTCCGGGATGAGTTTTTGATGAAGATCTACGGAGCCCAGCACCCGCTGGGGCTGGACGTCCGGGAAGAGGCCTCCTCCCCCGCGGGCACCGAGGACTCGCACCTGAACGGGTACGGGCGCGGCATGGCCGAGGACTACATGGTCCTGGACCTGAGCACCACCTCCAGCCTGCAGTCCAGCAGCAGCATCCACTCCTCCCGAGAGTCCGACGCGGGCAGCGACGAGGGCATCCTCCTGGACGACCTCGACGGGGCGAGTGACAGCGGGGAGTCCGCGCACAAGGCCGAGGCGCCCGCCCTGCCCGGCGGCCTTGGGGCCGACGTGCCGGGGTCCCTGATGTTCAACAGCTTGTCCGGGAGCAACGGCGGGATCATGTGCAACATCTGCCACAAGATGTACAGCAACAAGGGGACCCTGCGCGTGCACTACAAGACCGTGCACCTGCGGGAGATGCACAAGTGCAAGGTCCCCGGCTGCAACATGATGTTCTCCTCCGTGCGCAGCCGGAACCGGCACAGCCAGAACCCGAACCTCCACAAGAACATCCCCTTCGTGTCGGTAGATTAGTCTCGGGACGGACACCACCAATGCCAGCTCTCACCAGACGGCCTACATGTTTGAACTGCCATAGTCAGTGTGTGCTTGTGTACTTGTGTGTGTGTGTGTGTGTGTGTGTGTGTGTGTATACACATGGATGTCTCTGCGACTGCACACACACACACACACACACATACACACACACCTTTTCTTTTCTTTAGATATAAAAATGATAACACTAAGTGCTTTTGAATTTTTTTTTTCCTTTATAATTTTGGAAAAGGAAATTATATCATTTGGGGGTGGAAACTAAGTACCCTTTAAAGACACACACACACACACACACACACACACACACACAGTGTGCGAGTAGCCCACATTTTGATGGAACGATAATTCTTGGTCCTCTCCAAAAAGACAGTTTGTTGTACCCATGACTGTTGCCTGCAAAAAAAGAAAAGAAAAGAAAAGGGATAAAAAAAAAAAAGGAACTTCTTAATAGTTGTCTTTTGTGAACTTTAAAGTTTTGAGAGAATCTTCAACTACAGCATGGCAGATTCACCTGTAAATATTTAGCCTCGGGAGGCTAATGATGTAAAACAATTGTATTGATGTTGTTTAACTCTTTTTGTTTAATTTTTACAGTTACAACCAGCTGTTAGATAATGCAGGAAAAAAAATAGTTTGCTGGCTAGCTCTACTCATTTATGTTAGCATTAATGCACATTTTTTTTAAAAAAAACAACAACATGGTCTTGTTTTTACTACCTGCTAGATATAGTGATAAAGAGGTGCTGGCATGCTTTACAGCACAAATCTGATTTTTTAAATGTCCTGTACTAGTACATAAACCCCGTCATGCACTTTTTTCATACACTACAAGGGGATGTGTAATATCCATGCTTCTTTTTTTTACCCTTAAACTATTGCCATACTTTACATAAGTGTCTTTTTTTTTTTAACGAAAAAAAAAAATTCACTTGCATAAAAATGGTCTGGTCAGTATAGGGCACAAATGCCAAACAAAAGTATTAATGTTAACACAAAACTGCCAACTTTGCACAAGTTTCCAGAAAAGAAAATACAATTAGTCACTCAACATAACCACAGGCCAATTTGTTGGCCACCAGAAAACCGCTCTAAAAAAAAAACAAAAAAAACAACACTTGGTGATTCTTTCAAGTGCCGAATGTTATTAGAATCAACATTGCATCCTTCTTGCTTATATGTTAAGCTACATAAAAGGAAAACAAAATTATGTGGTGTGAAACAGCCAAGGCATTTATTCTTTAGAGGCAGGATAATATTTCAGGATACAAATCCCAAATTACTCACTATGGAACAAAGCTGCATACAGTAGGCGAGTTGAGCATACATTTCCAAGGACCTAACCCGTATCCTTTAAAAAGAAAGAGAAAGTCGGAGCTGGGCTAGGCTGTTGTATGGCTGTCTGATTTGTTGCAAGTTCTTCAGTAGTGCTGTGATTCAGGCTTCTTTGATAGGCAAAATCAAAAGGCGTTGAACAGCAGCCACACTCGGAAGCTTTGAAAACATGTGCTGAACTTGAATTGAGCAACACTCCCTTCTGAAAAGCCAGAGAACGGGGGTTTAACACGGGATCTCTCACTGGTTAGTGTTTTGTGTTTCCCTGCGCGATTTGTCACAGAGAAATGAAAACAAGCCTAAAACCAAGCAATTGAGAGTGAGAAAGAGGGGGTGGGGGTGGAGGGTGGAGGGGAGATGATTCTCCAAACCTGTTTTGTTTTGTTTTGTTTTGTTTCTGATGTTTACACATGTTGCCTGAGCTGGTTAACCACATCGGCAGCCTTGGTTACCACAACATACTGACTAAATGATTATATTTACTCAAGTTCAGTCTGCAGCCAAAGCCATTAGGGTGTGCGTTGCAGACTGTGTTTTGTTGTCTTTTTTTTTTTTTTTTTTTTTTTTTTTTTTTAAGTGAAGGGGTGGGGGAAGATAAACAGGGAATAGTTTGTCAAACAGTACACAGTAATTTCAAGAGAATGTATTTCTTTTCTGCATTTAATGGCCTCAAACATTTCTCATCAATCTAAATGTTAGAAATACCTACCCCTTTGTTTTAGCTTTGCATTTCATTTCCATTTTTCATATGTTTTGTAATTATTTTTTCTATGTTCACCATCAGCATTCACTTCCGTTAAATTTGCCAAAGGAAACTGTTGATATGTTTCTGTTGTTATTATTCCTATAGGATTTATTGTACCTCACAGTATTTATTGTTTCCAAAAAAAATAAGCATCATTAGTTGTGGATTCAGTATTTTTATTTGTGAAAAGTTCAGAAACAATAGCTTCTTAGAGATAAGCTAGACTTGTCTGAGAGCTTTATCTTTTCATCTCCTTCCCAGGATGCCATGGGGTTCATTTAGTTCTTCATTTGTTCCGCAGCGAGGAAAGACCAAAATTATTTGCAGTACAAAAGAAATCTTACTAAACACTATGTCTCTTAAATGACAAATGTTTACGGTAAAAAGCTGAGGAATTAGTAATAACTGTTGTTGTTTTCTTGTATCTTTGGATTCCCCAAAGTCCTAATGGCTTTATTTTGGTGTTGTGTTAAATGGAATAGACAGAGATGTTTCCTTTTGTTTTATACCATATTAGACTCTGTACAGTATGTTTGTGAAAGATTGAACTAGAATAATGAAAGTTTGTTTGCAAACATGTTGGTCCTCTTAGCGTTCTCTGTGTTGCACTGTTGACCCATTTGACCAAGTGATTCCATTCAAAAGGGTGGGGGAGGGAGTGTTTTTAGCATCCCCAACAGGAGCTCACAGAAACACTAGCTTATTTTGGAGCGTGTGTAGGCAGAATTATACCCCGTTTTATGCAAATAACACATTTTATTTCAGCGATTTTTTTTAAAGGTACACTCTTGGTTGAGCTGTTAGAACTCATCCTGTTGTACAGAATCAATGTTTAGTCTGTTTAAGTTAATGTCAACGGAAAGGTCAGGTGGCCCTAATGAGTGAATTACAGAGCTGCCAGCAAATGAACCAGGCATAGAACTGATGTGTGTTCCTTGCCACAATCTAAGGTGAATAGCCAGGTAGAACAAGTCTAGATGCAGCGAGATTCCCAAAATAGGAATTCCCTTGCTCGGGAACATGAAAGAGCTCCACAACATTTTGTCAGAGAAATGGCAATAAATTCTGGAGAACTCACCCTGCTTAAATATCTTCCCAAATTGCTACTACTTTTGTGCCTCCAGTGCCCAAATGGAATGGTGGCCTTCTAAATGGGTGAATCACATTTTCCAATGCAAAGCCGATTTGCCTAAAAGGGACAGGGGGAGTGGACAGAAGTGGTACATAACAGGTACAATCATGAAACATACTGTTTTTAGTCCTGAAGTGTTGCTTGTTTAGGGTGTGTGCCTGCGTGCAATGTTTTAACTCACCTATAAGTCTAGGTAAGAGGTGATCCCAAGGCTTATTTGCAAGCAGGAAGGATAGAGAGATCAGCATATTAATTATTGAGCCCTTCATCTTTGCCCATTCCTACTCATTTGCTTTTTCACAGGAGATTCCTGCTGTGCAATGATTTCTCTCTAGCTGCATCCATTCTGTGCTGGCTGAAAATGAATAGTGACGCTGGTTTTCATCCAAGCGGCTTTTCCCCATTTGATTGGTTTTAACCAGACTTTTGTCACAGGTACAAAATTAGGAAGTATTATGAATGTGCATGTTCAGTAGGCGATTCTGATCGTTTTAAACTACGCTTTTGTAAATACCAAAAACACTTATTCTACTTTAGGGACTATCTGCATGCTGTGGAGGGGGATGACAAAGAGCAGGAAAAGGGATAGGCAATAAGTAATTTGGTTTTTAAAACGTGATAAAAAGTTTGACACACTGTTCTGCCATCAATTGTATTGAAATAATTCAACCCAATGTAATGCATTTCAGACCATAGTCCAGCCACCCCGTTCATCCTGACACCTTTTACAGGTTTACAGGTGTTAATATTTTCCTTCTGGCTATGATAAACATCTGTTTTTGAAAACGTTTTTAACACAAGGGTGCCACTGACTTTGTAGTGTATGATTCCTTTGATTGTGAATTTCCAGGCCCTTTCTGTAAGAGGCCAATGGCACTTAACTAGTTAAAAGCCCTGTTAGTGTATACATTGCTCTAAAAAAAAAAAAAAAAAAAAAAGACTATACCAAGAATGGGCTGTTCCAGAGGCATTCTCTTCATTTTACTCAGGAGAAACCATGCATTAGGTTCTCACCAAATAAAATAAATGTGACCTTTTGTTCCCCATGCTCTCTGTACACACCCAGATGTGTGCCAAGCAAATGAGAAGGGGAGCCCTTGGCAATTAGAACATAAAGAAGCCAGTAACCAGATTGAGACGGACGTGCTGCTAACTGCTAACAGTTGACCTGAGCAGTCCTAACTTGTACGTGGACTGTTAGTGTTGAGTTAGATTGACTAACAGAGTAAATAAAATTCAACTGTAATAAGACACGCTACATCTGCTCTCGTAAAGAAACAAATCACCCAGAAAAACCTTACATTCTTTCTATCAACACGCTCCTTTTCTCAAGAACTCCCTTTTTAAAATTCTGACTAACAAATTTCATTTAAAAAAAAAAAATAATAACACATATTCCCCCGAACTCAGAATATTTATTAAAGGATTTTGGTTTTCCCTTCTTAATTCTTTGTGTTACTTTTTTTTTTTTTTTTAATGGGGAGGGTCTCCACAAGTAAGGAGGACAAGAAAAGGCAGGTGCCACGGAGACTGGAAGAAAACCAGAGGCCCAGTGAGTGAGGCACACTGAGGAGGGAAGGCGCTCCCCTGCTCGGGGGGAGCTGAAAAAGAAACAGTAAATGCCCTGAAAGTGTGTGTGCAAGTGTGGTGCAATCTGCCTCGCAGTGGCTGGGTCGTGCTGATGCTGTGCCCTGCCTGGAACAGCTCAAGGTCCTTAGGGTCAGGAGAGCCAACAAGGCAATCATGCAGGTTTTTCTTTGTGTGTGTGTGTGTGTGTGTGTGTGTGTGTGTGTGTGTGTGTATGCGTGTGTAAAGTGATGCCAGAGTCCCTTAGGAAGCAAAAGGATGCTATGGGTCCACCTAGGTCAGTGGTCAGCAAACTGTGGCTTGAGTGTGGCTCTTCCACAAAATACCACGTGCGGGCGCACACGTACAGTGTGATTGAAACTTCGTGGCCCATGTGCAGAAGTCAGTTTTCAGCTCTCAAAAGCAATTTCAATGGTTGTACCATTGATATTTGGCTCTGTTGACTAATAAGTTTGCCGACCACTGACCTAGGTTATAATAATGGCCGGTGGTCAAGCCTCGCGCTGGCTGTGATAAGTAGAAGTGAGTGGTAGCCTGCGGGATCTGTTCTTTTTCCATCACTGCTTTTGCTCGCTCCCATAGCTATGATTGTATTGCTACTTGGCTAAAGATCTCTTGATCAAAATGTGAGAACAAAATCATTTACCTTCCTGCAAAACATCCAGCTAGCTTCTCTGTCTTCACGTCATCCGGCAGAGCTGAACCACGTGTTGTAGTCTTACTTGTGCTAATATTAAGGCCACATCTGATCCGTCCCAGATTCATTGTCATAATTCCTATAGTGGAAGAGTGGCTCACCATAAATGCTCACTTTCCATTAGAATTGTGTAAATCCAGCTAGAAGTGAGCAGTGCGTTCATGTACCATCGCTCTTGCCCAGACACCTATCTGGCTCAGGGCTATGTCATCCTTCTCCTCACATCTTGCACAGAATCACATGGTCATTCAGCAATAGCTGGACATCAGTACTGTCTTTTTGGCATTTGTTGAAAAATCCAAATGCCTAATAGGGAGTTACAAACGAGGCATTTTTACAAGTACACTGAATTGGATCAGCATTATTGTTCGTTATGATGCTATATATATATTTTGAAGCAACGTACTATAGTTGTCATAAAACTATCTTTATTCTTCTTCTCTAAAGCATTGTTGTAAATTCATTTGACCTTTACAGGAAAAAAAATCTTTTCTATACAGACTCTCCAGACAAGGTTCGGTTTGTAACAAATAATGGACCATTACAAAGGAGGAAGGGGAAAGCCTGGGCTGAGCAGCGAGAAGCTTCGGTTCAATTTCACCTCATATCTTTCTAATAACTTACTTGTCACTTTATTACCTTCCAGTAATGTGAACGCTGCTGACAAGACTGTCACACTAACAGCAGACAACACCCTCTCCACTCCAGCCCCAGCTCCCCTGGCTACTTACTGCCCTGGCCCTGAAGGGACACAAACTAATAGTGTGCTTTCCAGTTCAGCACTTGGCCATCAAATATAAAAGGATGCGTAATTGCCTGTTTATCCCTTGTGAAGGGGAAATTGAGTACAAGGGCTAGGCTTTCCCACTGAGTTCCCTGAGGTACACACTCACTATCAGTCTCTCTCTCTCTCTCTCTCTCTCTCTCACACACACACACACACACACACACACACACACACACACAGGCACACACCCTCCGCCACCTCCCACCACTTAGATCCGTAGCACAAAACTGCATCTTTGGTAAGCCCAGGGCTGCCTCTAGATGCCCTCTCCAGCCATCATGACTTCTGAAATAAAGGGCCAGTAGAGAGATGCTGGCTATGACAGCATGCTTTGCATCTTTGGAACTTGAATATTGCAACTGCACACCCATCCATTCGGGGAGAACTGGGCATGGCCCTGTGATTTCCCACAAGGGAAGCCTTACAATATATTTCTTCCCCTTCAGAAAGTTCACATTTTAAGCAAATGGTTGTGTGTGATGGTAAAGAAAAGCGCTTGGTTTTTTTAGCGTTGGCATCCAAACATTGTTTAACATGAATAGATGTATCTCTCAATGAAAACCTCCAAACCCATAGTGTGATAGTGTGACATGGCAGATTAACCTTCATTTTTTTAAAACTGGATTGACAATCTAAAATAAATAAAAGGCATGGGGGTTTTAGTCTAATCACTAAAACGGAGACTACCCTATTCCTAAAAGTTAAATTCCCCACTTTGGGAGAATTTTTGCAAGTATAAGTACAATGAGCTTTACAAAAATCAAATGATGAGGGGACAAAAGGTACTGAGGAAAAACACATGGAAATGTTATATTCCAAAATACCTTGAGCCCAAGTAACCTGGAGGCATTGTATTGGCTGCTACTTCTGCATTCTGAACTACACGGAGGATGGTTGACACGTGGCTGATTAGTGGCTAAATTAAGTGCAAGGTGTATTTGTGACCTTCGATACGGAGCTTGGGGGCCCCACACTTCCTTCCAGCTCCCCCATAGCCAGTCTGGCAGATGCTGTTGACCCGGCTGCTACAGTCACATTGCAAATATTTTTGTCAACCGAGTAAGACACATGTAGGAGTCGTCTTTGATGTGAACTTATGGCAAGAGAGAAACGAAGCATATTTAGAGGTAGACACCTTCACAGGTCTGATTGGATCAACCTGTGCTGAGCAGGTTCACAAACCAGTCTGGGCACTGGGAAAAAAAGCACTTTGAGCAAGGAATCTCAGTGTCAGAGAAAAATAATTGGCCTGAGATGTTTTTTAAGTTTCTCTAGGATGTGTATGTTACAATCGTTTCTCAAACACCGTATTAGAATCTTCCATTAAAAATCAGTTGCCAAAATTGCACAAATTCTGCTAAATAGCAGCATTTCTCCCTTTAAATAACAGGGATGCTTACGGACATTTCTAAGTTTTTTAATGCTTTTTTTTTTTAAGCTTCTTTTTTTTTTCTTGAAGAGAAGGAAAAACCGATAAAGGTATTTTAACAGAAATGGAGAGACATAGATAGTATAAAAATATATTTCTTGAAGAGAGTATCTAAGTGCTATACCAAGACTTTATAAGGCTTCCTGTTGCCAAATGTGATGTTGAAATAATGCACAAGGAAGATGGCAGATGGCAAATCAATCCATTATTACCCAGCTCTGCCCACGTCTGTTAGGGAACTCTAGGATTGAGGTGACTCAGGAGACCCTGGAGATGTGAGAGGTCCACTCATCATTTTCAAAAACAGGGTGGGGAAGCGTAGGGAGGAAAGCCCTGCCCTCTTGGTAGGCCCCTGCACGGTGCCCTGACCTGGCCCTTGTTTCGGTGGGAGCCTGGCTGCCTGCCTTCCCCTCGGGGGGGAGACAGAGCATCCCTGCCCTCCAGGGCATCAGTGCATTGATTCATGAGGTACAATGCTCTTGAACTCCCAGACGATGTGCTGAGTTCATCAGTTCACTTAAGAGGTACACACCAAGGCTGATTGTTTATTTTTTCTTCACCTAGTACTCCATTTGGAGGGGTTTTGCATGTCTTTGTACACAGTAACCCATTCCTCTCATTGCCTATCTTAATCTCCCCTGACCTTTGCATTATCTTTCCGCTGCACCCTTTGCTCTTCTGAGCTCACCCACCCCCTTAAAAAAAAAAAATCTTTTCTGAAGCCGGAAGGTGGAACACACCTTCCTCCTGATGCTGATTGCTTTGGAAACATTTGTGTTTTACCCTGCCCAGGGTTTACAGAAGGCGAATTAAGTGAATGAGATTATATATTACCCAATACGGAAGAATTATAATATATGGTGCACTTGCTTTCCTGTGCAAACTTTGGTTCAGGGGCCCTGCGAAGAAACCGTAGCATTTTCCTACCAATGCCAGTGTGAAAAGTGCGGGAGAGCTCCAATGAGGGTCAATGCGGGGGAGAAGGGAGACACCAGGAAGCTCTGTCTGTGGTGTCTGGGCCTTTCCTCCGAGGTGGAAGGGAGCTGGAGCTGTGGGGAAGAAAGCTCTCTGTTTTCTGTGCTGATCACGGGTGGGGGTCCTTTCAGAACTAGAGACCTCCCTCACCCAGGTAGGAGGACACTCACCTTTCTTCCCCACCCCATCCGCCCTGGCCTGTCTCCGTGACAAAAACATTTGATCCAGCCTGCATATTGGACAGCAGAGGTGGCCAAAGGGAACGGAAATATCTTGAGGAAAAAGAGTTTTCACCAAGATATGTCTCCTCCCTCCCCCAGAGTTTGGGGGTTTCTGCTTTTTTTCGTTTTTGTGTCACGCTCATCTGCATCAGACTGGTCTCACCTGCTAAGCCTGTGGGGGTACCAGAGTCTGCACCATGAGAGGTGGCGGCACCGAGGGATGGGGACCGCTCATTTCCCTGGTCGCATCGTCGTGACGTCGGTAGCTTCATAAATACTGTCTGTACCTTGAACAAGGGTTTTTGTTTTGTTTTTGTTTTGTTTTTTATCAGTAGTCTAAGGGAATTAAAAGTTTTTATTTGCTACTTCCTTTGTTTATTTTCTGTACTATAACTGTCTACGGTATGTCTTTTGCATAAAATGCATAAGGGTTTGGGGATGTAAATGGAATTTTATTCATATTTTGTCCAAATACCTCTTGTAATTTGTATCAAAATTCTTGTACAATTTTTATATTAAAGATTTATCAGTCACTGATCTCTTCGTACCTTCTTGATTTGAAGAAACCTCAACAAACTCCCAAGAGACCTTTACAAAATACACCTGGGAACACATCAGCTCACATGGTAATTTACCTATGGAAACACGCTTGCTGGGAAGTTCAGAGTCAATCCACTATGGGGACTGGTTTATTTCATATACTTCTTAGAAATATCAAACATCTCTCTTGCTCAGAAGGCAACTCTGAGTCAGGGCTACACCCATCTCAGCCAGTCCCGATGGCGCCCTGCAAACACCGACCTGAGTCCTTCCTCGCCAAATGATCCTTTGGGGCTGCCTGTTCTGTGTCTCCCCAGAACCCCTCTCCCAGAACCTTTGCCCACACTCTATTAAGGAAAGGAAGACCAGGGGAGAGCTTGGGTACCTTTGCACCTCAGCTTTCTGCAAATAGGCCTCCTCCCCCCTCCCCACCCTGTGACATGTGTGGACAGCAGCCCACAGGACAATGACTATATGTATATTTTTCAGACTCAGTGCTGTGTTTCGGTTTATATTCTCTTGGCAGCGGTTTTCTGTGGATTTCGCTCATTATAATCTAGGAATAAAACTAGCCAATGGGGAGATGTCATAACCGGCGACATTTCCTCCTGTCTTCCTGCTTACGGGACAGTGGGGAAGAGTTTGCCCAGCTCTTAAACCAATCCTAGCTGAAGATTGGAAGGGAGATTATAGGTCCTCTTTCTTGCAATTTTGTATTTTGTCTTCATCCCTGGAGCCAAATTTGGTCCAAATGCCCCCAGTTTGCATCACCTACTTGTCCAGCGTCCTCCAACCTGTAACCAAGGACAGGAGCTACCCTCACTCTATAGCAACCCCTGGCCCAGGCCTCTGGCCGGTAAGAAGCTGGACAGGCTGTGTGTACCTGCCCGGCTGTCAGGCCCACAGCAAGGAGCTGTCCAGCCAGCTTCCGATGCCACTGCCCGAGGGTCCCTCTCTAGACAACAGGGATGCCAGCCCCCACGCCTTACCCGGATCTCCTTCCTTTCCTTTGAGGACCCGTAGGCAGGTTTCAGGGTTAGGAGGGAGAGATGAAACATTTAAACAACTTTGAAGAAGCCAGCCTCAGTGGAGGCACCTGGTGATTGAATGTCAGGGATGCCTGAGCATAGTCCTGCATAGTCAAGCCCGGGCGTGACTATGATCTCTTCGTCTGTCCTAACGTTTGCAGGAGCCCTCCCCCGAATGGCTCTTTCTAAAGATGTGTTTCACTTGCTATTGAATGGTGGGAGCCCCCTGTTTGGGAAAGAGGCTCCATGGAGACAGCTCTGGGCACAAAGCGAATCAGACCGTCCTCGCGGTGGCCAGTGGTCCTCCCGAATCGCCGGAAGACCTGCCGTCGGCTCGTTTGCCCAGAGTCAGTTGCCAGTGTGACAGTAGATTAAGTGCCACTAATTTAATAAAGCTGCTCTGTCGATGGAGACCAGAGAGGATGGTGCTGTGAGGTGGCTTGGGAGGGCGGCCAGGCATTGAGTTGCCTGAAGTGATGCTGGGGGAATCTATCCATCCTCAGCCAGCCGCGGTTATTTTTAGTCACCTGACTCTCGGGCACCCCAATCATTACCCATATTCATCAGAGAGGAATAATGAACAGAGGTATTGATTAACGGAGCGGCTGAGAGATTTCCCAACAGTGCTAGTTCACATTGATAGGCGTCTGATGGGAATCCAGGCCGCACGGCCCTGGAACATAACTTACTGTGTTCTAGGTCCCTCCATTGATTTTTATTTCGGGGGTGGGGCAGAGGGACTGCACAGTGATGCTCCCTTGACCTTTCCCTGAAACCTTTTTGGGAGGAAAAAAGAAAGAGAAACCCACTCGCTGCCATAGTCAGCAAACACTCAGCCCTGCTCTGCTTCCTGCTTCTCCGCGGGCCGCTGTCCTCCTCCTCCGTGCTATCTTGATTTACAGACATTTGCTCCAAGCTGGGACCTGCCCGTCAGAACTCAGAGCCATCAGGCCTAGGAAGCCCTCCCTCCCCTAAAGATCAGCATATGGCTTCGGGAAATTACCTTGCGAGGCTAATTGCACCAAGCTGGCATGCTAGGAGCATAATGAGTCCCGATTTCAGCATGCCGACCCCGGACCCAGTGATGCCAGCGCAGAGTAACTTTCCAAGCAGTTTGCTCATGGCAGGAATCCTCATTGAGCTGCTGTTTGCAAAAGGCATTTGGTTCGATGTCTAGT